GGTTTATTTCACTCAGCATGATTATTCTGAGCTGTACCCCACCATATAAATATACCATAATTTGTTTATTCATTCACCTCTTGATGGACATCTGGGTTATTTCAGTCTGGAACTGATACAAATAAAGCTGCTAGCGATAAGTCTTTGTACGGACATAGACCTTCATTTGTCTTGGGTAAATACCTAGGAGTGGAATGCCTAAGTAAGGTAGGCGTATGTTTACCTTGTTATGAAACTGCCAAACTGCTTTCTAAACTGGTTGTGCCCTTTCCCATTCTCACCAGCAGCGTATGGAAGTTCCATTTGCTCTACATCCTCACCAACACTTGATGTGATCAGTCTTTTGAATTTTAGACATACTAACAGACGTGAGGTGGTATCTGGTAGTTTTGATTTGCATTTCCCTAATGACCTAATGGTACTGAGCATCTTTTCATGTGCTTATTTGCCAACCATAAATCTTCTTTGGTGAATTGTTCAAATCTGTTGTCTGTTTTTTAGTAGCTTGTTTTATTATTGAGTTTTATTACTAGCCTTTTTTTTTTTTTTTAAAGATTTTTTTATTTTTTCCTTTTTCTCCCCAAAGCCCCCCGGTACATAGTTGTATATTCTTTGTTGTGGGTCCTTCTAGTTGTGGCATGTGGGACGCTGCCTCAGCGTGGTTTGATGAGCAGTGTCATGTCCGCGCCCAGGATTCGAACCAACGAAACACTGGGCCGCCTGCAGCGGAGCGTGTGAACTTAACCGCTCGGCCACGGGGCCAGCCCCATTACTAGCCATTTTTTAAGTCAAGGTTTCCCCCTAATGACTAAGCAGTCGTATTAAAATGAGACAGCATTCCTACTGAACTGTACTTTTAAAATGGTTAAGATGGTTAAAAAAAAAAATGAGGAGGCTGATCCCACAGGCAAAAAAGCATAATAATGAGAAAGCACTTCATCATGAAGGTACAAAATTCGTGCAACATCAGACTTCTCTGTTCAACTTGCCAAAAACTCAAAACAATCCTGTTTGTATGAGGAAAAATCACTAAAACATGAAAGAAAAAAACTAAAGACCAAAACCACAAACTCTAACCTCAGAACTGAATATCACCAAGAACACAAAATGCTCCTTCACCTTTGTGTGCAGCTGACCGTGATTCTCTGCTGTCCAACACAGCAGCCAAGACCATGTGACTCTTGAGCACTTGGAATGTGGCCAGTCCAAACTGAAATGTGCTGTAAACGTAAAATATACACTAGATTTCAATGACAATGTGAAAAAAAGAAAGTAAAAGAACTCATTAACAGCATGTATATTTTTTACATGTTGAAGTGATATTCTAGATAATCTGGAATAAATAAAATATATTATTAAAATTATCTTCACCTGTTTCTTTTTACTTTTTTAAAGTGGCTACTGTGAAATTTAAAATTATGTATGTGGCTTGTATTATATTCCTATTGTGTAGCACTGATCAAAGCAGACCCTGAAAACAATATATCTCCAACTGGGAAGGAAAAAAATATGCACATATATTTTTTCCTTCCCTATTCCTCTGAGGTGTGAAGAAAACAGTACAATGGAAGGGTGCACAACTGGAACTCAGTCTTCCTAGGTTTGAGGCATAGTTCTGTTACTATCTGATCTACGTGACCTTGAATAAGTCATTCAGCTTCCCTGAATTTAAGTTTCCTCACCAGTTTGGGGGGCTTTTTTTGCTGAGGAACCTCAAGTCGCCCTGAGCTAATATCTGTTGCCAATCTTCCCCTTTTCTTTTTTTTTCATGTGAGGTCTCACCACAGCATGGCCACTGACAGACAACTGGTGTGGTTCCATGCCCAGGAACTGAACCCAGGCTGCTGAAGTGGAGCATGCTGAACTTTAACTGCCAGGCCACTGGTGCTGGCCCAGTTTTTTGTTTTTTAATTCAAAAAGTCAACAAAAATGTAACATGCTCCTACTTTTTAGAAAGCATTATTCTGGTATGGCAGATCTTGAGCTTAGGCTTTACTAGGAGGTGCAATACAAACACACTAACTACTATTATACAAGACAAAATTTAGAAAGTGCTGAAAGAAAGCAGACCGGCCTCTGTGACTGTGCAGCAGGTGCGTGTGTATGTATATGTTTTAAAGGAGAAAGAGTACCTTAAAGGAGTTAGGAAAAAACTTATAACACTTGTACTAAAGTTCTCTGCTCTTAACAAGGACTCACCATGCTATAGTAAGCATTATAAAGTAGCTTGTGAGACATGGAATTGATAATATTTCGTCAAGTTTTCTCCATGAACATGATGACACAGTAAGAAGTAAATGACATGCCATAATGAGGTCCTATTTTAAGTGAGGAAACAATTCTGCAGTACAGCTCAAGCTTAACTCTATCTCCAAAAAGCAAGAGATTTTTAAAAGTAAAAGGTAACTTTTTGTGATAGGCACACAGATGAGAGAAATAATTTATTTTTTAGCAGAAACCAGTTAGCAAGTTAGGCTAGAATCCTGACAGACGAACCACAGCACTCTTTCCAACACCACAAACACAAAAAAACCTCCACGTGAAACATACAATCCCCACGACCACCCCAACCCTGGGGGCCGTCTTTAGGGGTAATAATTTACCGAGACACCCAGATACTGTTATTTCAGCAGTATTTCCATAAACTGGATGTGTGACAACTGCTGTACTTAGGTCACAAGTCACACAGGAAAAGTCCATTCTGAAAGTAAATTTATAAACCATTATGTTACATCATATAAATTGAGTTTATAAGCAAACTCAAAGATGCCCTTGTTCACAGCATTCTTTGTAGGTAGAATATCCCCATTGGAAAGGTAAGAAAACTGAGGAACAAGTACCGAATTTACTTCTTTCTTGAGACAAGAAAATTTAATAGCATAAAGTGTGCTGGGAAATGCATACCATGGTTTTGTTAAGGGGAAAAAAAAAGCCTAATCCATGACCAGTCCAGGCAGGATTCTCATCTGCTAATGGCAAGAAAGCACCTTTTACGGGAGGGTGCTAATGGTGTCTGCTATCAGGAGCAAAACATAGGGGTGTACTCTAAATCACCCCAGTTTCCCTAACTCTTCACAAAATAGCTGTGAATGTTACCTAAATCTTTTAAAGTTTGTCCTTATTCTCAGTCTGGTATTCCAATTGTAAGGTTAGAATTTTCCCATGTTTCCTAAAAGCTATGATTAGAACTTCTCATTTGTCCCAAATGGAGTTTCAGAAATAATTTAAGGCATATCCCCAAGTTTTATTATTCCAGAATCTGGTATGAAAGTTCATATCTACCCATCCCTGCCCTTCACTGTAGGAGGGTTCAGTCATAGCCCTTCCACACTTTCTCTTTCCTGAAGGAAAGCACTTAAAGGCAAGCAGTGCAGCACAGCAGAAAGACTGCGTGCAGGGGTGGCAGATGTCGGCTCCAGTCTCAGTTCAGCCTCTTACTCCCAGTGGACCTGGACGAGTCACTGAACCTCTCTGGACCTTGAGGGCTCATCAGAAATGACAAAGTTATGGGGGCCGGCCCCGTGGCCGAGTGGTTAAGCTCCCGCGCTCCGCTTTGGCGGCCCAGGGTTTCGCCAGTTTGGATCCTGAGCACGGGCATGGCACTGCTCATCATGCCATGCTGAGGCAGTGTCACACATGCCACAACTAGAAGGACCCACAACTAAAATATACAACTATGTACTGGGGGGCTTTGGGGAGAAAAAGGAAAAATAAAATCTTAAAAAAAAAAAAAAAGACAAAGTTAGACCAGATGATCTGGAAGTCCTCATCTGGATCTGAAACACATTTTGTTTTAACCTGTCCTCCAGCAGCCTGACCATTTTAGATAGCTATTTCTGGTCCTTCCCTAATGTGCTTCTTATTTGAAGGACTTATAATAGTAGACTGTGTCCCAATAAAAGTACATTATGACTTTAATCCATAGTAAGATTTTTATTTCAAATCTCAAGCTACTTTTGACATGAAGAATTTGCCCCAGCGATACGGAGGAGGGGGCACGGATCTAAGTGATGGGACAGGCTTACTTACCGTGAGTCTTGAGGCTGGACGATGGCTACGCGCTGCTTCACTATTCTATCTACCTTTGAGTGTCTGCAATTCTCCATAATACAAGGTCGAAAAAAAATAATTCACTGTCAAAGCGAGAAAAGAATACCGGAATGGCAGTACTACACAGTCTTGGCATAAGGATAATTGCTTTTCACACCATTTCCCCTGGTTTGAGACAGGATCTACAAGACAGGAAACTAAGCAGAGGCACTCAAAGTTCCGCCAAAATTAAGGAAAATGAAGCAGAAAGGAAATTCTTCAACTGATGTGCAGGTTCTCAATGAGAAGATCCACGACACGGAGGGCAGGAGCAGCGAGAGGCAGTGGCACCGAGCACAGAATGAACTTACGTCCACACAGCCATGCCGCACGCTTCACACTTAGCTGTGTGTGTATATGCACAGTACATAGTCCCTAACTTTTCAACTAAGGTCAAAGCCCTACGTGAAACGGAGAGGGAGGGAATAAGACCCTCTGGCAGGCGGATGTCTCGCAGGACGTGAAATCAAAACGCAAAGAAGGGATTTCGGGGGTTAGGAAATCCTAAAGAAAATGGGATTCCTGTGGAAGAACGAGAAAGGAAAACATACATCCCAGGGAAGCCAAAGAGGCTACGGAATTATTACAGGTGCAGGCGCTTCCTCGTGATCTCGAGCAGCCCTCGGCTCTGCCAAGCCACACTCCCGGGGGCGAGGAGGGCGGGCTGCGGAGCGCCGGGCCTCGGGGACCAGAGCAGCGCCCCGAGCGGGCCGGGCCGGGGGCGGGCCTGCCCGGGCGGCCTGTTCCACCGCGGGAGGGGCGGCCGGGAAACCCCAGGACGCCGCAATGGTGTCTCCCGACGCCGGGCTGCGCAGGGGCGCTGTCCCCGGCGCCCGGCCCCGAGGCGCCCCGGTGCTCGCGGTTCCCGCAGCCCAGTGACCTTCAGCGAGGGGCGGCTCGATCCTACTCACCGACCGCTAGGCTCCGGGGCTCCAACTCCCTCCGTGACCGCTGGCTCCCGCCCGCGCCGCTGCCGCCGCCGCCGCCGCCGAGGCGTGCGTCAGGACGTGCGCGCGCCTGCCCTTTGTTACGCCGCCTTGACGTGCCCCCGCGTCCCGCCCCGCCCTCGTCTACTCTCGCGCGGCGCGCGGGCCCCGAGGGGCAGGGCGTCTGGGAGGTGGGGCGGGGCCTCGCCCGCGCACCTCGCAGCAGCCCCTGGAGGGCGGGCGGCCGCTGCGCCGGGCGACCCAGGTGCCGCAGCGCCGGGGCTGTGCGCCCTGGCCCCGGCCTCCGGACCCCGCTCACCGCCGTGGCGCGCCCCCGGGATTCCGTCCCCCACACGGGGAGCGCTCCCTAAAGGGGGGTCTCCGCGTTTCTGAGCTGCGTCAGGGCCCGCGTACTGCCGCCTCCCCCGGGGTACACTAGCCTAGGTTCTGGAGGGTGAAGTCAGCCCCGCTGAGTGAGAAGAGGCTTGAATCATCAGTTACCTGGTCGTCTTGGGGCTGCTGTAGTATGCAGTGAGATACGGTTGTTTATGTAAAGAACTTAGCTCAAGGCCCGGCACGCTCCAGACAGGTGAGCTGCCATCACCCTCGACTGCCGCGGCTGCTCCCACCACCACTACTTCATCATCATCACGGAGTCTTGGTTGCCTTGCTAGTGAAGCCAAGGAGTTCAGGGGTTGCTGTAGACGATCTCCATGTTTCCTCGCAGCTGCAACTTTCCAACGTCTACCTCAACACTGATCACTCTACTCAAATCTAGGGGGTACCTGCTGGAGTTTGTAAGTGTATTTCTCATCATCTCTTCAGACTTCAAATACCTAACCCAAGCTTATCACCTCTCTAAAATTCGTCCTTCTTTAGCCCTTCTCCTTCCCGTTCTTAAAGGATATTTTTGCCTCCAGTACCAATGCCTCCCCACTAGTTTATTCTGCATATTGCTATCCGATTGCCATTCCGTGCTAAGTAATCTGATAATAAATCTTGAGAGAAAAGTTCACATTCTTTTTTTTTTTTTCTGTTTTATTTCCCAACCCCCCCCCCCCCCCCATACATAGTTGTATATCTTAGTTGCAGGTCCTTCTAGTTGTGGGATGTGGGACGCCGCCTCAACGTGGCCTGATGAGCGGTGCCATGTTCGCGCCCAGGATCAGAACCCGGGCCGCCACAGCGGAGTGCGCGAACTTAACCACTTGGCCACGGAGCCGGCCCCAAAAGTTCACCTTCTTAAACCTCAGAATCTGACTATGAGAATGATGGCTCTGCTCCAAAACACTGGACCACTCATCCCCACGCTAAATGTTACCACACCTATTTGGGACTTGAACTCAATCATTTATCCACTCATGTAACAAACCTTCCTGGAACCCTTACCATATGGCCAGTTTTTGCCAGGGTCCCAATGATGCAAAGTAGAATAATGTATTGCCATGTCTAATCTTCAACTAGATTCAGTTCCATAAAAGAAGAAATGGGACACTCTACATTTTTGTGTCCTCCCCAATGCTAGGGATAGGGTTTTAAAGTGGCCACCACCATCTTAAACGCTCTTTGGATTCTTATATGTGGTCTCCTTTCCCACCCCTAGAACCAGCCAAGCTTAGAAGCCGTGTGTCTGTCTGCTCTGCTAGTGTCTATTCATGTTTAAATTTTCTCACAATTCTTACCAAATATTACAGTTCCTTGTATATAATAATTTTGAAATTAAAAAATAAGTCACACACATTACAGGCTCAATACAAATCGTGTTCATTGATTCTTTGCCCAACCAAATAGTAAACTCACTTCTTGGGTATCAACACACGCACACATACCCAGGTGAGAGTAGGCACCCATTCACTGGCACATTCTCTAAACTTCTTTGGTGTGGGAAAGCAATCAAACTTCCCCCTCAAAGAGGAAATCAGTAAGAACTGGGTTAATATAGTTCTCTTAGGCTCCAAAGTTTTGTTTGCAAAGGTCAGTGATCTGGGCATCTCTCTGTCATGGTCATTTCTAGGCACAAAGAATACAAATGGGAGAGAGAGAAAGTGAGCAAGTAACGCTTGAGAATTTAGACATGGCGTGGGTTTATCTATAGAGAAGGCCTACTGCCTGATAGCATGACCAGGCTCATCGCCGGCACTAAATTCCTTGACACTGAATTCGGACTGTCTCTAGATTATTGTTGAAGGTATTTTCACATTCTACGATGAAAATACTCTTGTGCTACAAAAACTACGTGAGTAATTTTAAGTACCTGATGAAGGATAGGCCATTAAAAGAAGGGGGTCACAGTGATTAAGGTCTCAGTGAGAGGTTTAACGATCCCCATCCCATCCTAACTTTGAGCTCATTTCCCAAAATGTGCCTCTACAATCATTGTGTTTGCTGCGTGTATGACACACAGTGCTATGAACCTGGGAAGATACTCCGTTTGAAAGGTACTCTGTCCCTCAGTAGAACAACACCATAAGTGTGCTGTATAATTCCTTTCCCTTCCACGGTCACCTTTTAACGTACAAAGTCTTTAACATTCATTAAGAGGTGAATCCACAACTGTTTACTACACAACCAGCAACACCAATGCTCATTTCCAAGCACCAAGAGAAAAAGCCAAATTAAGCAAAAGTTGTGTTCTTTTTTTTTTAAAAAAAATTAGTTGTGGTAAAATACACACAAAACTTACCAACTTTACCATTTCTAAGGGCACAGTTCAGTAGTGTTAAGTATATTCACATTGTTGTACACCCGATCTCTAGAAATTTTTCATCTTGAAAAATGAAAACTCAATACCCATTAAATAAAAACCCCCGGCCCGGTGGCGCAGCGGTTAAGTGTGCACATTCCGCTTTGGTGGCCTGGGGTCCGCGGGTTCGGTTCCCAGGTGCGGACATTGCACCGCTCATCAAGCCATGCTGTGGTAGGCATCCCGCGTATAAAGTAGAGGAAGATGGGCATGGATGTTAGCTGAGGGCCAGTCTTCCTCAGCAAAAAGAGAAGGGTTGGCAGATGTTAGCTCAGGGCTGAACTTCCTCAAAAAAAACCCCCAAAAAACAAAAAAAACATTTCCCCCTCCCCCCAGCCCACCACCATTCTTTCTGTTTCTATGAATTTGACTACTCATACCTCATACTCATATGAAGTATAAGTGAAATCATACAAAATTTGTCTTTTTGTGACTGGCTTATTTCACTTAGCATAATATCCTCCAGGTTCATCCATGTTGTAGCATGGGGCAGAATTTCCTTCCTTTTTAAGGCTGAATAATATCCTGCTGTATGTATATACCACGTTTTCTTTACCCGGTCCTCCACGTATAGACATTTGAGTTGCTTCCACCTTTTAACAATTGTGAGTAATGCTGCTATGATCGTGAATGTACAAATATCTGGGCTCCTGCTTTCAACTCTCTTGAATATATACCTCAACGTGGGATTGCTGGATCATGTGGTAATTCTATTTTTAATTTTTTTTGCAACTGCTATTTGAGATGCTATTCTTTGATATATGAGTCTGGAATTGGGAGGAGAGATCAGGCTAGTGATATAAACGTGAGAGTCATCAGAATACAGACGATGCACATGTTGGATCAGATCAATTCAACAATGCTCAGATGTAAGAAGTAGAGACTTTGCAGTTAAGAGCAAAATGAAGAAGACAAGTTTTTCAGTCCATATCTACACCGTGGTCCTCAATTTAAAAATATACAGGCTCAATTTTGCCAGTTCACGGCAGGGTGAGCACTGACTTGTAGTAATCAAACCTGCAGGAGACACTGATAAAAAGAAAGGGCTTATTTGGATAGTTGAAGTGGATAATTGAAAATGCAAAATTAACTGGAATAACAGAATAATATAACCGGAATTATAGAATCCATAGGTCAGCTCATACACTAGCAGTAGGAAAATCTACTTGGGAAACTAAATCAACATTGATAGGTTGTCTGTTGACTATAAAGTTTAAAAAAGAAAAAGAAAAAAGGAAATGTACGTATCTAGAGGTTCTGGAGATTTGAGATATCCCAAAGTTCTACTTGTACAGGATTCTATGTGCCAAGCAGCTGAAAAAAAAACTTGGCTGAGCAGAACATCCTGTTGGATGAATATGGTAAACCACTTTTCTTTGCCCAGCTCTCTATTTTCTAAAATTCACTCTCGTCTACCGTTATCCACCCATTAAAACAATGGCTGCCTTCCTGGGATTCTCAAGGAAAGAAAAGAGGAGCTTCCAATTACTTTAATAATAATTTTTAAAGTCTAGTGGAAATCACATATATAAATAAGGCCACTTAATTAAGCTAACTAAGATGTAATTTTTGGCAAACATCTACTCATATTTTTGGGACTCACTTCTGGCGTTAACTCCAAAAGGAAGTTTTCTCTGATTTCTCCCTTAGGGTGCATTCTTCATGAGTCCCTAACACTCTCTAGGTGCCTCTCACATTACTTATTTTTATTGATGATCTGTTTAGATGTCTGGCTCCCCTCACTGGACTGTAAATTTTGTTTTATTCATCTTTCTGTCCCCATAATGTCTGGCACAGAGAGGTTGTTCAATAAATGTTGAATGAGTGAAAACTACATGATGAGTACCAGAAACTTGACAAATTACATACATATTTAATAAAATTGTGAAATGAACTAGTACTTAATGCATCAAATTTGGTAGACAATACTTGGGGTATGTGGGAAAAACAGTAAAAGGGGTTCTTAACAGTAAAAATATCAGAGCTCCCTGAATGCAAACATTAGCTAGATGGAAAAAGTGGTCTTAATTGGACCAGTTTTTCTTAGTCTGGATGTTTCAGAGGTCAAGAGAGCCCTGAACTACAACTGTTTTTTTGAGATTATCACTATTCAAAAAAAAAAAAAAGAATTACAGGATTACAATTGTGGCATATAGTACATGTGTGTATTTCCAAAATTATCGATTTTAACAGAAAAGGGGGCAAATAACACAGTTGTACTATTTACAAGATAAGGTTTATAAAAATATCAAATATTAAATCAAAGTGCACTACAGGCAATGTGGTCGGTCAATGAAACACCAAAGTGAAATTCAAAGATGACTAATGAACAGCATCTTTTTTCAATCTGGTTAGCTATCTCTGTGGTTGTACATTTTGGGGAGAAAGAATTTCTGTCTACTGTTCAAATGTTCTTTCAGCTAGTCTAATAATCAAGTTGACATGAGACAGATTAACAGAAAAACATTGAATTTTGTACATATGGGAACCCCACATACATGAGAGGTTCGAAGACAGAAAGGTAAAATGAGGTGTATCTGCTATCTTGAGCCAAGGAATGGGATGGGGGCCTGGGGCTTCAGTGAGGAGGAGAGTCATTCACAGGATGATAAGAAGAGCAGATGTTTGGTAATTAGATGTTTGCCCTGCCATACAGATAGGTCATAAAAAGTTATTTCTGGTAATAACTCTTATTATGGGCAAGTCTCCCAATTTAAATTCTTTAAGGGAGAGGTAAAAGTTTCGCTTGAGCCCGCAGGGTCTCGTTTGTTTTTAGCTCAAAATATTCCACATGCCAAAGTGGCACGTCTTGGGGAGGACTGTTCCGAACCCCGTCATACTTCATTGGAGTGTAACTTCATCAGAGATAATATCAAAAGTCTTAGATTTCAGGCCCCCTATAACTGTAAAACCTGACCCACGTGGTCTTCCACGACTTCCCCTCCCCAGTGGTAGGACCTGACCTGAGTTGTATTTTTTCAGAGGCTCATTGATGAGATTTCAGAAACCCTAGTTTCATTAGAAATATACTACAACACATTCTAGAGGTAAATCACCTTTAGAGCTGGCTACTCATGTTTTTCTGTTGATTCGTACCAGCTTTAATTTGGGAGAGCGACCCCCAATCCTGACAGCATACCCTGTGGGTACCACTCACCTATTCCTGATCATCCCTTAATGGAGGCAGGGCTAGAAGGCTGGAGAGGGAGCAGGAGGAAACAGGTGCAGTTATGAAAGCGTTCCTTATCAGATGAGGAAGCTGCAGCTGTGTTCAGAGCGGCCCTGGAAGCCGGTGTGTTTGGCTGCTTCTAGCTTTACGCTGTTAACCACCTGGTTGTTTTACAGATTGAATCAGCTGGGGCAGGCCCTTTAGGGAGAAAAAGAGAATGCTGCTTGCTCAGCCACAATGATTGCATTGATATAGCCTGCCACCGGCACAAAAAAATATAGCCCAAGAAGTCAAGGAATCAGAAGAGAGAAACATTCTTTTTAAACACATATTTAAAATTTGTCATCCACGAACAGTAATCTGAGAGAATGAGCAATCTCCGAAAAGAGGCTAAAATCTTCTGAAGACTGAAGATCTCAGAGCATTGCAAGTTGAAGCGAGGGGCCTACCTGGCACAAACATTCACTTATTATTCCAACCCTTACCTCCTGAGCATTCCAGGGCTGACAGCCTGGGGGCCAGCAGGGTGGATGGCAGTCCTGGTCCAGCCTTTCCAGGCCCTGAGGGTGGCAAACAGTTCAATAAGCAGTTTCCATATAGGGTGATAAATACAACAGGGGAGGGAGGGGCCTAGGAACAAAGGTCAGGTTTCTGGGTCTTGGTAAATTATGCACAAAACAGCTAAAAATGTTTTTGTTTTTTTTTAAGTGCATCTGTTTTGAGGTAGACAGAGTTTCCCCAGACTTTTACCTGCTAAAGAGGGGGAAAGGTCAAGTGTTTACAACGTGAACCACTGAAGATGCTTTAATGAACTTTTCTTTAGGCAACAGTTGAAGCAGCAGTACAATTTCAAGTTACCAGAAAGCTGGCCCTTTCCACCTGGAGAGGAAAGTGTAAGAGCTCCTTCCTGTGCTGGGTGCCTCCTGCTTTCAATGCAAAGAACCCTCCCCGGCCCTCCCCCACTCCACACAGTCCTTACAGCCACTCTGCCAGGCCTGTTAAATAATGACACATAAAAGCTTTATTTACATTTCTTCTGTTTCCACACTCCAAAGGCTCCTCTGCAAAGGGTAAAGGGCGCCATTCCCAGCATCTCCCTAAAGGAAATTTCAGCCCTTTGGTCAGGAAGTGGGCTCCCCTTGTGAGAGAAGAATGCAAAGCATTCAAGGCTTTCTGGGGGCTGGGAGTTGTGTCCCTCCTGTCTCCCCACTGTGAATTCAGGAGAAAGAAGAGTCTGAATAAAGTTCCAGAAGCGATAGGAATAGCACATCCTGGGTGAGGAATTCAAGCTTCGCCTCTGCAGAAAATGTAACCACAGACGGCTCACCCTGTCTGTGGGCCCTCACAGAGCTCACTTACATTGTGATGAGCGTGACTGAGAACTGGGCACCAAACAACAGGTTTGCCCTTGATTGTTTTCCCCAACAACAGAAGCAGAACTGAATGGTGCCCACCGGCCTGGGGGACCTAGTGGCAACATGGCTTGGAAGGCGAAGCTGTCAGTCTCGCTTCTGCAAGGACTGGCCGTGTGAACACTAGGCACTTCTTGGAAGGAGCCCTGACATCAAAGGTGATGCGCATCTGCCTTGCCTTCTGGAACCCAGCCTGCCTGCTAGACAGCGCCTCGCAGGAAGCCCCCTGCCCAGCACGCTGCTCCGGGCGCACACTCTGCACCTGCAGGCGCCTCTGGAACCCCCGAACCCTGCCTGGGTGCGGGGAAGCCCAGAGCGTAGGTGGTGGCTCTGGCCAGCCAGGTGGCTCAGGGCGCAGGAAACTGAACATGGGACACGTGTCTGCCCACAGCATCTTCAAACTTGTACACGGATGTCAACGAGATCCCCTTCGTGTCTGCAAACACTACTCGCTTCTTGGGTCTCTGGGGTTCATGCAGTCGTACCAGGAAGGAGTAGAAGGAGGCCTGGGACTGCAGCTCTACCAGGCCAGGCCGCGGGAGCTGCTGCGGGGAAGGGCTGTGGCTGAGGCAGAGGTGCATGGGGCTATACACAGAAGACACGCTGGCAGCACTGGGACCTGTGACAAAAGGGGAAGGAAGTTCTGATGACAGAGCAGAAGGACCAGGCCTTCTCAACTGCAGCTTGCCACATCACTGCCCTTCTCCTCCCCTGGGTCCCCAGCCCACAAGTGTCTGATGAAACTGAATAAAAAGCAGCACAGGTAAGAAGTGGCAGTGGGTTGGGCACCAAGTAACAGCCGTCAGTTCCTGGAGACAAGAGCACTTACCTCATGCAGCTCCAGGCAGCAGTGCGTGGCAGAGATGTCTGTTCCTCTTGTCTGAGACCAGTTTCCCAGTTTCCCCAGCAGGAACTATTTATGCGCTCCCGACCCCCAGAGGGCCACCAGCACTGAGGCCCAGGCCCTGGGGAGGCAGCCAATCAGAAAAGGGGAAATGCCAAACCCTGGGGGAAATGAAAAGGATGTGATAAGAAATGTGACTCGGGCACTTTGTCCCAGGCCTCCAGCACGCCACTGCTGACCGAGCAGCCTTAGACGTCACTCCTGGGTTACCTGTGGCAGGTGTCTATGATAAGGAGAGCACAGTGAAACAGACAGGCTTCGAGGGAGGTTCCCAGCTTGCTTCCCCAGGGTTCTAACGCACTTCTCTGCCTCTCTGTGAGGGAGTACACTTTGCTGCTTTTCCTCATTCGCCCTACCCACTCTTTGGCCTCTCATCTCCACTGTGGGGTTTCTTCCCAGGCACACTTCTGTTACTGCCTTCTCTGTTTCCGTTTCTGTGTCGATTTACTCCTCTGTATCCCTCTGTGTCTGTGATCCAAAGAGAGAGGAAGGTCAGTGGGTGTGGCACTCACTGGCCAATGTCGGAGCACCCAGAGGGCCTTGGGCATGGATCTCTCGTTCAATCACTTGTGGCCCGAGTGACAGGATCATAGGACAGACAGTACCCAGGTAAGGAGTCCCGCCTGGGGCACCTGGACCACTCCTGGGCTCTGCAGCTGGACACGGTCAGACCGTCTCAGGTGGTGGATGACTTTCCTGGTGTTCTTACCTCTGGCATGCTGCCCAGTCTCCTTCGCAGACCCAGTTTACTCTCCCCACCCCTTCAATCAGTCTTCCCTATTTTTCACTTTATGCCTCTTCCTTGGGAGCCTTTACCCAATTTCGACAACTATTCAATTACTTTCCTATGCTAACTCCCAAGTCTTTATCTCAGCCCAGACCTTTTTCTTGTGCTCCAGACTCCTAGAGAATGGTTCTATTTCTTGATCTGGTTTGTGGTAACACAGATGTGTTCCCTGTGTAATTTCCTGTCTGTATGTTTTACTCCAATCAATCAAAAGTTCATTTAAAAAAAAAAAACAAACCAGCAAGAAGGTAAAATTGTTAATTATATAGTGGTTTGGATATTTTATTTTTACCAAAATGGCCTCAGAATATATATAGGCAATGTGCATTTTTCACGTAATACACAGTGGATGTCTTTTCATATTAGTGTATTATAGACGTAGCTCATTTTTCACCATGGTGCATGGTGTTTATCATATGGGTCCGCCATACTCTGCTACAGACATTTAGGTGGTTCTCAATTTTTTTGGTAATAAAATGGTGCAACTAACACTCTTGTATACATACATTCGCGTATGTGTGTGAGAATTTCTCCATGACAGATATTTAGAATAAAGCCTGTTCAAAGGGTAGGCACATTTAAAATTCTGATAGTACTTCCAAATTGCCTCCAGAAAGGCTGTATATCTTTATAATTTCACCAATAATCTTTAAGAGTTGACCTTTTTTCATACCTTCACCATCACTAAAAATGATCAAATTTTAAAATATTTGCCAATATGATAAGTAAACAGTATCTCATGATTGTTTTCATTATATTTTTAAATAAAAATGGTATGTAGTATTTTTTCATATATTTATCAACGATTTCCATTTCAGTGAAATGCATATTCAAACCTTTTGCCAATTTTCAAAGCCATTTGTATATTTTAAATATACAGAAGTAATAGCAGCTCCTGGATTAATGTAAGATACTGGCGCAGTGGGCTGTCTGTCTGGAAGAAAATAAAGGTAGACTCTTACCTCACACCAAAAATAACTGAAGAATTTAATTTAAAAACTATACAAGGAAGAATTATTGGAGAGTATTTATATAATTTTGGGGTGGGAGAAATTCTGTATGGCTAAAGACAGCATCAACAAATCAACAAACCAAAGACTAGGAAAACATGTTTGTAGATGTTTGACCAACCTGGTGATGTTACTGTTTCTTGAGTCAGGTTTTTTTAGGAAGATTAGCCCTGAGCTAACTGCTGCCAATCTTTCTCTTTTTGCTGAGGAAGGCTGGCCCTGAGCTAACATCCATGCCCATCTTCCTCTACTTTATATGTGGGATGCCTACCACAGTATGGCTTAGCGAGTGGTGCCATGTATGCACCCAGGATCCAAACCGGTGAACCCGGGGCCACCAAAGCTGAATGTGTGCACTTAACCGCTGTGCCACCGGCCGGCCCCTTGAGTCAGTTTTGATCCTTTGTAATTTCTTAAAAAATCAGCCATTTCCTCTAAACTTTAAATTTAATGATATGAAGTTAAGCATAGTGTTTTCTTAATTTTTAAAAAGCTCCACATTATCTGTAGTTCTTTTATTATTCCTAATATCCTTTATTTGTGTTTTCTATTTTTTTCATGGTCAGACTTGAGGTTTTCTTATTTAATTTGTTAGATATACTGATTTTCTTGTTGTCTAGTTCATTGTTTTTTGTTTTCATTTTATGATTTCCCCTTTTATTTTTCTACCTTTTTCAGTGGAATATATATTTCATTTATTTTCAATCTTCTATGTTTTCCAAGAAATGCATTTAAGATTGTAAATTTTCCACAAAGAAAAACTGTGCATTTTTACACCCAGCTCTTTTATTGTCACTTATTTCTAAATAGGTTCCAGTTCCCATTTTAGTTTTCTCTTTGAGACAAGAATTACTTTTATGATTGTAACTGAAATTTCTAAGGGATTATATCGGGGGAGGCTATATTTTTCATGCTGCTTTTGAGTTGTCTTATGGGCATCCTTCCTTCCTTCCTTATGTAACAAACACTTACAGAGCCCTGCCATGTGCCAAACAATGTGTTAGGTGCTGAGGTAAAAGGTGAACAAAACTGGCAAGGGGCTGACCACGTGGGGTTTAATTTCTACCATTCAGAAAATGTGGTCTTTGTTACCTCTATTCTGAGGAATTTATTGAGATTTTCTTTGTTGACTAGTATGTGAACAAATTTTCTAAAAAAAGGGAAATGTTGTCTAAATTTGTTAAAATGAAGCTTTCTCACTTGATCTTCAAATTCTGAGAAAAGAATGCTCAAGTCTCCCATGATGATTGTTTTTTTCTCAAATTCATACATTCTCTAACAGTTTATACCTTATATTATTGTAACGCTATGTTGTTTGGTGTGCAAAGGCTCAGTGCTATTATATCTTCTTGGTGATTTTTTCTTAGATCAATGGATGGTAAACCTCTTCATCCCATTTATTTTTTTTGCCCTGAATTCTATGTTGATACTTCTCTTGCTACCCCTATTTTGCTTTGCTAATATCAGTCTGTTATAGGTGTGTTTATTTTTCTATTATTCACTTTTCTGTTATTTTAACTGTGAAGCTATTTTGGGGGAACAGAAAGTAGCTGGATTGTATTTTTCTAGATTTCTCATCTTCTCATTCTTTGTATTTTCAGTAAGCTCTAGGTTTCCAATTGACCTCCATTTGTTTGTCTCTATTCACATTGGCTAATGCCACGCATCCGGCTCAGCGTGATCCCTGCGTTGCTACCAAAGCCAATGTAGACTGATAGCACAGTTCCTCAAGCAACTATTCACACCTCTTTTTAACAGGATTGTGTGCATTTATCCTGAACACCTAAACCTCCCAAATCTGTCAAACACAGAGACACACATGTGTGTGCTTGCATAAGCAAAGTTTCAAAGATTCTAAAACCTTTCATCGACAAATAGATCTTGTGTGAGAAGAACACATTCAACCAAAGTGAGAACTGGGAAAGCTCTCCCGCAAGCTGAGCAACCTTGCTACTAATGTAGCCGGAAACCAGGCAGTTGGGCAGGCAGTGCCTGTGTAAGAGCCATCTACAGAGGGCTAGACACATTTCTGCTGGACAAGCAGTGTGGGGTCAGGAAAGATGACTGATTTCCTGAGTCAGAAGTGCTGGATTCCAATCTTGGCCAAGCTGCTTACTCGGGATTATGGAAAAGCCATGATACATCTGTCAACGGGAAAGTGCTATCTGTTTACATCAATGCATTATAGAAGAAGGCAATAATGAATTAACAATTTATATAGGCATTCATATTTTAGAATTCTCAAAAACCTTTTATACCTCATCTCACTTTTTCCTTACAACAACCCTGTTATGTTGGTATTATTATTATCCCTATTTTACAGAATGTTGCTATGTGCCATCAAGTCGGCTCCAGCTCCTCTGATTGCCTATGAGCGAGTGTGGTCCGCAGGGTCCCGTCCTCGACAGCCCACCTCAGCTCCTGCAGGCTCACGCCTGTGGCTTCCTTTATGGAGTCAATCGTCTCAGATTTGGTCTCCCCCTTTTCCTGCCGCCTCCTGCTTCTCCCAGTACTACTGTCTTCTCCAAAGAATCCTGCCTTCTCCTGATGGGCCCAAAGCAGGACAGCCTCACTTTTATCATCACTGCCTCCAGCGACAGTTCAGGTTAATTTGCTCTAGGACCCACTTGTTCCTCTTCCCGGCAGTCCAGGGTGTCTGTAGAGCTCTCGTCCAACACCATATTTCAAGCGAAGCCGTCTTTCCTGTGCAGCTTGTGCTCTCGCACACAGTAACTGGGAAAACGAGGATGTGGAGGGTCTCGGCCTTGGTCTCTAATGACACTTCCTTACACTTGATGATCTTTCCTAATTCTCCCATTGCTGCCCTTCCGAGTCTCAGGCTTCTCTTGAGTTCTTGGCTGCAGCCTCCAGAGAAATCGATGACTGAACCGAGGCGAACATAATCTTTAACAATTTCAATGTCTTCCTTGTCTACGTCAAAGTTGTGTAGTTCTTCTGTAGTCATGATTTGTCTTCTTGATGTTCAGATGCAGACCTGCTTTGGCACTTTTGTCTTTTACTTTCATCAGAAGTTGTTTCAAGTCATTGCTGCTTTCTGCCAGTGAGATGGTGTCATCTGCATACCACAGATTGTTGATATTTTGTCCACTATTTTCACTCCTCTGTCAAATGTCCAGCCCAGTTTTTTGTATGACATGTTCTGCATAGAGATTAAACAGATAGGGAGATAAAATGCACAGTCTGACACCTTTGCCTGTAGGAAACCATTCTGTCTCTCCATATTCTGTCCTGACAGTGGCCTCTTGTCCACAATACAGGTTACGCATCAGGACAATCAAGTGTGGAGGCCTGCCCATGTCTTTCAGAGCAACCTATAGCTTTTTGTGACCCACGCAGTCAAAGGTTTTACTGGAGTCTGCATAGAACATAGACTACCCTTCTTCTGAAATTCTTTGGAGCATTCCTGTAGCCAATGAACAATTGCAATTAGATCTCACGTGCCTCTCCCTTGCTGAAACCCGGAGTGGGCATCAGGCATTTTCTGCTCCATATAAGGTAAGGGCCTTTGCTGCAGCACCTTGAGCATCACTTTACTTGCATGGGAAACTAGAGCCGTGGTCCTATAGTTACCGCAGTCCTTGGCAGCTCCTTTCTTGGGGATTGGGATGTGTATTGAGCATTTCCAGTCTGTAGGGCATTGTTTCGTCTTCCAGATCTGGTGGCATATTCTTGCTAGGACTGGCAGATTCAGTCTCTGAGGCTTGAAACAATTGTATCCATAGCCACCTATCCCTGTGACTTACTGTTTCCCAGTGCTTTCAGGGCAGCTTTCACTTCACTTTCTAGCATTACGGGTTCTTCCTCATAGGAATCTTCCTCAAAGGAATCTGCCCACCTTCTGTCTATTCTGTGCACCGCCTCAGTGTACCATTTCCACTTTCCCTCTATCTTCTCCAATCAGATAGTGTGCTTCCCTTTTGGTCATTCAGCATTCGCAGACTAGGTCTACATTTCCTTTTGATTTCCTGAATCTTCCGGAAGAGACCTCTTGTTCTTCCTTTTTTATTGTTTTCTTCTATCTCTTTGCAGCGGCCATTAGAGTGGTTCTCTCTTTTTTGTTGTTTTTTTTTTTCCTTTTTTTAGGAAGATTGGCCCTGAGCTAACATCTGTTGCCAGTCTTCCTCTTTTTTTTCTCCCCCATGCCCCAGTACATAGTTGTCTAACCTAATTGTAAGTTCTTCTAGTTCTTCCACGTGCGACGCCGGCTCAGCATGGCTTGATGAGTGGTGTGTAGGTCCATGCCCAGGATCCGAACCAGCGAACCATGGGCTTCTGAAGCAGAGTGTGTGAACTCAACCACTCTGCCATGGGGCTGGCCCCATAGTGGTTCTCTTTATCTCTATGTGACAGTCACTAAAAAACCTCGCTCAGGATTCTAACCCTGCTTTTGTCACCTTTTACTTTTGCTTCTCACCTGTCCTTAACAATTTTTAGTGTTACTTGTCATCCATCTCAGTTTTTCTTTTTTTTTTACCTTCAAGCATTTTCTTTCTGCATTCTTCCTTAATGACATTTCTGGTTTCAGTTCATAGTTCTTCTGGTTCTCAATTAAGTTCATCAATGTAAATTCACTTTATGTGGGCTTTAATTTTGTCGTTTACGTTATATTTTGGCACTATGATTCTTTTAGCGCTCGGCTTCAGCTTCCGTCTGACATTTAATATGGACAGTTCATGGTCAGGACCACAATCTGCTCCTGGTCTTGTTTTGGCAGAGAGAATACAGCTTCTCCACCTCCTGCTTCCAATTACATAAGCTGTTTGATTTCTATATTGGCCACCAGGTGATGTCCACATAGACAGTCGGCTGTTTGGTTGCTTGGGGCGTGCATTTGTGACGGACAGATTGTTGGCTTCGCAGAAATCCACGAGCCGGTCTCCTGCTTCATTTCTGACCCCTTGTCCAAATTTTCTGACCATGTTCGATTCTGCTTTATTTCCTGCTTTTGTATTCCAGTCACCTATAATTATCAGCATGTCTTGTTTTGGTATATGATCAATATCTTCTTGGATACTTGCATAAAAGCTTTCAGTTTCATCTTCTTCAGCATCTGTAGTTGGAGCATAGACTTGGATGATGGTTGTGTTAATAGGTTTTCTCAGAGGTCTGATTGATATTATTTCATATCAATAATTGTAGCCCCTAACTGCCTGTGCTACATCTTGCCTTCTTGTTATAGCCACCCCGTTTCTTCTGAGTTTGTCATTTCCAGAGAAGAACACTGTGTACTTGTCCCACTGAAAGTGTGCCATCCCAGCCCATTTTAGTTTGCTAACACCAAGCACTGTGATACTTAAACGTTCCATTTCTCACTTTACACTTTCCAGTTTACCTTGGTCCCAGCTTCTCACGGTTCATGTTCCAGTCATGTGTGTGGTTCAGCCTGGGACTTTCCTCTAACCTTTATGCATGTCAGCCGGTAGATGTCCTCCCGGCTTTGGTCTAGTTGCGTCATGACAACAGTGCTATTTGTCCTTGTTCTTGCTCTTCCCCAGTCACTGTTGGAGTGCCTTCGTACCTGGGGGGCTCGTCTTCCAGCACGATCTCATATTTAATTTTGGACCATCTTATCATAGGGTTCTTAAGGTAAAAAAAATTGCACAGATAAGGAAGAAATTTCTCCAAGGTTCCCAAGTTAATAAAAATGCCAAGTCAGGACTTGAGCCTAGTTTTCTTGACTCCAACTCCCAGGATCATTTCACTGTACCCTGCTCCGTGTGAAAACATTTTGAAAAACAAAACGCATCTTGCAAATATAAGGAATTAGTGTTAATTTTCTGAAAGAGGCATATGTGGGACTGTGCATAAATCTGTAGAAGACTGCTGGACAGCAGGCAGATTGAAAACTGGAAGAAAGCTTGAAAGATTTTCTGGTCCAGTCCTTTGCACATGTTAGGCAAGCAAGTGTTTAAACCTTTCAGGACAGAAAAATATCTATTAATTTTTTGGCATCGCTAAGACTCTAGCTTCTACAACCTTCTTGGGTAGACCATTCCAGTGTTTTGTTATCTGGATGACAAAGAGCCTTTTCTTCATGACACAATATAGGTCTCTTTCCTCTTCATAGAAAGTTCTAGACTTCGCTTTCTTAGTCACTTGTCACTTTTCTGACTCTTTTGTTCTCTATATATGTTCCTGAGTGTGCTGACACGCTTTAGAAAAGCAGCTTGATTTTTACAAGACTCCTATTTTTTTCTTATTGTTTTCTTTCTACTACTCATAATATAGAAAATTTTGGTCTTTTAACATTCATTAAAAAAAAGTTGCAGGGCCGGCCCGGTGGTACTGCGGTTAATTCACATGTTCTGCGTCTCGGCGGCCTGTGGTTCGCCGGTTTGGATCCCAGGTGCGGACATGGCACCGCTTGGCAAGCCATGCTGTGGTAGGGATCCCACAGATAAAGTGGAGGAAGATGGGCACAGATGTTAGCTCAGGGCCACTCTTGCTTGGCAAAAAGAGGAGGATTGGCAGCAGATGTTAGATCAGGGCTAATCTTCCTCAAAAAAAAAAAAAATTAAAAAAAAAAAGTTGCTTAATTCCTTCCTTCTTCCTGGGAATTAAATAATTGCCTAACAATTTCCTCTTGAATTTTTCATCCCACAAAACTAATTTGTCTTTAGAAACCAGGATCGAATTGGGGCAGCAGATCTAGTTAATCCCTCTAATTACCACACGCAAACTGATGGTCTCATCATTGATCATCGTGTCCTGATCCCAAGCTGTTCTGGGTAATTCACTAAAATTAAGCAGTTTCATTTTAAAGGTCACTGGAGTCTAAGGCGTCTTGGTTGGCTGTGAATTACAAGCAGTAAGGAAGGCCCAGCTTCCCAGCTGACGGAGGACAGAGCCGGACCTTTCTCAGAGTCTCCCGGGGATGGAAATTCCATGGATCTTTTGAGTGCGGTCTCAGTCAGTTTGTGCCACCATAACAAAATACCGTAGACTGGGGGCTTAAAGAATACTATTTATTCATTTATTTTAAAGATTTTATCTTTCCTTCTTCTCCCCAAAGCCCCCCTGGTACATAGTTGTGTATTTTTAGTTGTGGGTCCTTCTAGTCGTGGCAGGTGGCACGCCGCCTCAGCGTGGCCTGATGAGCAGTGCTATGTCTGCACCCAGGATCCAAACCAGCGAAACCCTGGGCTGCCAAAGCAGAGTGTGTGAACTTATCCACGCGGCCACGGGCTGGCCCCTGAATAGGACATTTATTTCTCACGGTTCTGGAGGCTGGGAGTCTGAGATCAGGGTGCCAGCATGGATGGGTTTTGGGGAGAGCCCTCTTCCTGGCTTGCAGATGGCTGCCTTCCTGCTGTGTCCTCATACGGTGGACAGAGAGTGCTTTGGTCTCCTCTTCTTAAAAGGGCACTAATCCCATTATTGAGGCCTCACCCTCATGACCTCATCTAAACCTAATCACGTCCCAAAGAGCCCACCTTCAAATACCATCGCCTTGGGGATTGGGGCTTCAACATATCAATTTTGGGGGGCACAACCTCTCAGTCCATAGCAATTGCCCAGTCCACTATTTTTTCTCCTTGGTAGTCCAGAGGCTTGCCTCATATTCAGAGCACATTTCTTTTGATGTTAAGTAATTTTATTCTTGTTTGGTTCTATTTAAAAATGACTTACTGTTTAGCATTATTCTAAAAATTCTTCTTTATTTTTAAGAATATATTTATATTTTTTCTCTCTTCCCCTAATTAAGCTAAAGAATTCCTTTCCTGGGGGCCAGCCCTATGGCATGGTTAAGTTCACATGCTCCGCTTTGGCGGCCCAGGGTTCACAGGTCCGGATGCTGGGCACAGACCTAGCATGCTTGTCAAGCCATGCTGTGGCTGCATCCCACATAAAATAGAGGAAGATTGTCACAGATGTTAGCTCCGTGACAATTTCCCTCAAGCAATAGGAGGAAGATTGGCAACGGATGTTAGCTCTGGGCCAATCTTCTTCATAAAACAAGTAAACAAACAAATGAAAAAACCCAAAAACAAAACAAAAAAGGAATTCCTTTCCTCATGAGGTCTGTTTTTTATACCTTTTATGATTTTGCTTAATCATTTAACTGTAGCGTCAAAAAGGAAGCATATACACCAACATTCTACTGGTGGTTATTTTAGGATGATGAGATTTTTAGATGATTTTAATTTTCTTCTCTCAGCTTTTCTTTTCTTTCCAAACTGTTTACAATGAAATGTATATTTTAGTAATTTAAATAAAGTTAAAACTAAAAGCCACTGTAATGAAAACAGTGTGGTTTTAGACTAGAACAAATTAATAGACTAATGGGAAAGGACAGCCAAGAAACACACACACATACATATTTGGAATTTGACAGTATTAAAAGAGGGAAAGAATGAACTATTCAATAAATCATGCTGGGATAATTGGCTATCCATATGGAAAAACCGTTCAATTCCTACATTACACCATATCCCCAGATTAATTTTAGATGCATTAAATATCTCAACATGAAAGGCAAAACTCTAAAAGTTTGGAAGAAAATACTGGAAAATTCATCTATGTCCTTGGGGTAAGAAAAGATACCTAATACATAAGAAGCACAACCATAAAGAAAATTAACTACATTCAGTTGACTTTTTCTGCATGATAAAGGACACAATGAGAAAAGTCAAAAGGCACACCACAGACTAGGAGAAGGTATCTACAATGTATATAACCAACAGAGGATTAGTATGCACCATATATGACGCGACATACATTACTATAATCCTACTTATCCTACAGTTGTCCCCACGCATGAATGAAATGACACATGTACAAGGCTATTCAATGTAGCACTGTGTGTAGTAGCAACAATTTGGAAACAATCTAAGTAATGATTTCTAGGGGATGAGTCAAGTAAACTATGGTATATTCATGCAATGAGATTCTATGTAGCTGAAAAAGAAATACAGGACCTTATCTATGTAACAAAATGGAAATATCTCCAGGATGAACTGTTAGGTTGAAAAAAAAAAGGTATCTGTTTTCTGTGTGTTTGAGACCTTTTTTATTTTTTTAAAAAAAGACTGGCACCTGCGCTAACATCTGTTGCCAATCTTCTTTTTTTTCCTTCTCCCCAGAGTCCCCCGGTGCATAGTTGTGTATTCTAGTTGTGAGTGCCTCTGGTTGTGCTGTGTGGGATGCTGCCTCAGCATGGCCTGATGAGTGGTGCCGTGTCCGCGCCGAGGATCCGAACCAGCGAAACCCTGGGCCGCCAAAGTGGAGCGCACGAACTTAACCACTCGGCCACGGGGCCAGTCCTGAGATCTTTTATAATGAATAAAGATGAAGCTAGGTTGTTATGAATGATGAATTCTCTGCTGCACAAAGAATCAAGAAGTCACCTAGTGAAGTCCAGTGACACTGCTATGGCCCAGTGCTGCTGAACAGATGGCGTAGGAGGTGGGTAAACAAGGGATGATCCCCCGAAAGCTTACGAACTGCTCGGGAAGTCTAGGCCCCCAGTTCCCGTAAATGGTAGTAGGGTCAGGGGAAATCTAGTCCACTGAGATCCTGGTCACTGGAGGAAGGAGGTGATGACAGCAATCATTCCCACTGGATCTAACTCTGTAAAACATGCAAGCAGGACTCCTTAGGGCTGTAGCTGCTACTGTTTCTATCTGCCCAGCCATTTCTCCATTTGCATTTCTGCTTACATATTCTAGCTCCTACTCTGGTTGGGCCAATCTTAGTCATAGTGTTTGGTTCAAGGGGTGGGCACATGCCCCAAACTAGGGCTTTAAAACACAAAGCTGAGACCAAGATGCCTTTATTCCGTGTTAAGCTGGAGTGGTGTAATCGTGTGGCTACCTGCTGCTCTATTTGCTGCCATGAGGAGAAACTCCACCTGCAGGAGAGAATAAGGTCAAAGCACACAGAGAAACAGAAGAGACAGAGAGTGGGACACGCACACACACTCTCAAGGTAGCGTTGGAATCTGTGGGCCTAGTTCGTCATTGGAGGCCAGCTGCTATTTTAAATTATAGGAGGCAGTAAATCTCCTTTTTCCTGAAGTTAATTTAGGTTGGATTTCATCACTTGCAACGAGAATCTCTGATCCTACAAGTCCCTTCACACCCATTCTCTACACTTGTCCTTGAGTTACCTTAGCTGCTCCCAGGACTTCCGTTTCACTTGAGTACTGACGAATTCCATGTTATGTTCCAGACCACGTCTCCTTCCTGAGTCCCACACACTCGGACTCTTGCAGGCATTTCCACTTTCACGTCCCATGAAGACATCAAGCTCAATATGTCTATGACATCATCCTTTTCTTCACTCCACTTCCACCTAACAAAATTCTTCTACGTTCCTTGTACCACTTAGCGTAATTATTGTTTTCAGTTGCCCACTTTAGATGTCATTCTAGACTCCTCTTTTAATTCCCACCCACCTCCAATCTAAATGGTCATCCCATTCTCTCAGACTTGCTCCTGCTAATATATATACATATTTTTCTGAGGAAGATTGGCTCTGAGCTAACATGTATGCCAGTCTCCCTCTATTTTATGTAGGTTGCCACCACAGCATAGCTTGATGAGCAGTGCTGGGTCTGTGCCCAGGATCCAAACCTGTGAACCCCGGGCTGCCAAAGCAAAGCACGTGAACTTAACCACTACACCACTGGGCCGGCCCCTCACTGCTAATATTCTTTTTCAAATCTGCAATGTTACTTTGTATTGCTTCTAGTTCCTTCCTGAAATGTTTGAGTTCCTCTGTTATCCCAATGAACATGGTTGTTTTACAGCCTGTGTCTATTAATTCCACCATCTGGGATACTTGTGTTTCTGGTATCTGTTGCTTCTCTTGGTTCTCATTCTTAATATCTTTTCTCCTTATGTGCCTATTATCTTTATGCTAGACATTGTATTTGAAAAAGTTTTTTAGAAATCATTTGAGGCCTACGATGTTCTCTTTCCTCAGAGATGATTTTAGTTCTGCCAGGCCCCTGGAGGCACCAGTGATCTGGATTTCTTTAATCAGATCTTTTAATGTACAAGTTTGAAAATTTCAGGACCATCCACATGATTCAAAGCCAGGCTAAAATCTGTGGTGAGGACTTGGTTTACTTCCAATTCACTTTTGCTCCTGGAGTCCCAATCCTAAATGAGGGGGGTTTGCCAGAACTCTCAAGCTGCATAGGCACTGAACTCCAACTTTCGTCCCACTGGTCCCATTGGGCCACAGGTGCTTCACCTCTGCTCCACAGACCTTGCTGGCAGTCTGATGAAGCTATGGACTCCTTCTCAGAACAATGTTTTTAAAAGCATAAAATATGTAGGATTGCAAAGGAAACCAATATATTGAAATACAATAAGAAAATTGTGTTATACTAATACATGTGCTTCTTTATGACAACATAAATAGCAATTCCTGGCAGCAGGTCTAATACCAACAGTAATTTAGAAATAGTAGTGAATGTAAATAACATTTTGAGAAATCTGCAGTGACTGTAAATGTGATGTGAAAATATCTGATTTCTGTTGGTGATGCTCACAAGTCCTGCTGATATTGCTGTGGCTTGTTGCCTGGGTTCATAATAGAAGGAAAGCCTAAGCTTCATTTAGAGGTTAGTGAAAAAAAGATGGGATCTTTTATTAACCAAGTTCACAGATGCCCTGAATTGAATGGCCGGGGAATCTCCGACTTAACGATCACTGAGTTTGGCTGCTGAAGAGCTGCCCAGTCTCTCAGCTACCCCTTTGCCCAGGCAAAGGCTAGACTCACCTCTCCTGAGCTCTTTTTTCTCCTAGATCTTGGTGCAACAATTCCTCACTAGCTTGTTAGCAATCCGATGTCTTTAGAAAAATGCTTTTTATATTTCATCCAATTTTTTAATTGACTTCAGTGTGAGCAGCGACCCAGTTGCCTAGTCCACCGTTCCAGGAAGCAGAGGCGCCTGCCCGATGCCGCATCATCTCCACCTCTATGTGCTGCAGGGTCCTTCTTCCTTCTCACCTGGATTGCCAGCACAGCCACTGGTTTCTAACCGTGTGGTCTGGCCTTCATTCTTTACAGTCACCATAGGGATTTTTCTAAATGCAAATCAGTTTTCTAAAAATGTAAATCTGATCATATCAGATCTTAGTTTAAAGTCCTTCAGAGAATCCCAAATGTTTTAGTGCAGAATTCAATTCTTTAGCATGATAAATCAGATTCCTGTGAGACTTGTACGTCATATGAGTCTTATAACATAGGCCTCCTGAGACCCTAAAAGATGGGAAGTTGCTCTCCTCCCACACCCCAACTCTCACCCCATGCGCTTGCCCAACTCCTTGGAGTGCCCAGAGTGGTGTACGTGTCCTATGGCTTCTGTGCCTTTGCTCATGGCATTTCTGCCCAAAGCAGCCATTCCCTCTTCCCTCCTTGGCCCGGCGAACTCCTCTAGTGTCCCAAGTCCCCGCACAGCCACCAGCCCTTCTGGGAAGCTTTTGTGATTTCTTATCTTTGGAGTCCTTCCTGTGTTCTTTCATCATGCTCCATGCTCTGCCCTACTTTTATAAGAGCGTGTTATTCTGAGATTTGCGTTCCTATTGGTCTCCCTCACTAGATTCTCTGCTGCTTCAAGTCAGGGGCTTTCTTCCTCTGAACACACAGCACATGCCACCACGTCTGACCCTATATGTTCATTTACCAAATTGAACAGAGGTACACTTGGCATACTACTATATTTATTGCGTCGTTTACTTGGCCTATTCACTTTTTTAAAGTTCCAGAGTGACAAGACACTACAACTCTTGCCCTCGTTACCACTTTTGCTTATGTGCCTCGCTTAGGAATTTGTATGCTGTGAAATGGCTCATTCTCATACATGTTTTAGAAACTAGGAACTCTAGGTTACTAATATATGCCCAAGTTGCTACTATGTATTTATTTATCCTTTATTTAATTCTCCCCCAAATTTGGGGTAGCTTTTTAAATTAAGACAAAATAAAATAGTAAAACTGTAGGTACTAAAAGGAGATCAGAAACTATGTAAGGAAAGACCCAGGGAAAATTTACAAGGAAGTCGGGGTGAAGCAGTGAGCACAGTAATTGGCTCTGCGCTCCCTGGTAGGAAGACTAAAAAGAGAAACCAGTAGGACTGATTTGTCTGATAAAATGAATTACAGAAGTTTGAAGAGACAAACTTTTACTTGTACTAAATTTAAGTACTAAAACTTGTACTAAAAATTTATTACATGGGTCCTTTTAAAGAAAACAACAGGTAATAGATAATGTTTTCAGTCATAATTTTTGGAAGACATGGAGATGTTTTTCACATGGCTGTTTCTTTGTTAAAAGCAAGGAACTAAAACATTAGTCTGGGGAGACTGCTTTCTGGGATCAAGTTTGATTCAGAAACAAAACTTGGGGAAACAAGAGAAATGGACTGACGATATGACCCTTATTGTTGGCATGCTGTGGTTAGCGGCTGTATCAAGACTGAGCTCACCGAAGTGCAGACATGTGATGTTGTTGGCTGGAGATCAGAAAGCTTTAGATAGCAGAAGCAAGGCTCATGATCTGTTATAAACAGGCAGGGGGGCAACTACAGTCTCACTCAGACTGAAGGCCAAGCGACTTGTCTGGAGGGTGAAGCAGGGCAAGTCTGCAAACATTGCTGAGTGGGTGGCACACTGGCTGTGCTTGTCAACAAATGAAGGTAGATGGAGCATGCACCATTTTTCCATCTGTTATTTTCACAATCTATTCTGGAAGTTCGATAGTGGGCATGCCCAAATCATCTTGATTGCTCCAGTGTTATGAATATGAATTTACTTATTCCTTACTTAGTTCCCCAAAGAATTCTGGTGGGATTTTAATAAAGATAAAATAGTAAACTGTAAGTATAAAAAGGAAATTAGCAACCATTTAGGGAAAGAGAAAGGAGAACTTGACCAGGAAGCGAGGGTACAATGGTGAGACCAGTGCTTACCTCATGGGGTGGCAATGAGGATTCGACAAGGTCATTTGTGGAGAGCAATTTGTTCATTGATAGGACACAGATGCCCAAAAATATTAATCTTCTTTACCCCTCTCTGTTTCTGTAGGCAATGGGTAGCCACTGAAGCTTTTTAAGAGAGGTAATGTAATGGTCAGAATGGTACCTGAGGAAAATTACAGGTTCAGAGATAACAGAAGCAGC